AAAAAAAAAAAAAAAAGAACTGAGGGTTCCAGGTGTTTAACCATGTCAGTGTAGTTTTTTTTATATATTAACGGGAGAAAAATGGGTCCCCTTTAAAGAATTTTAAAATTAGGAAAGAAGAAGAGATCAGAAGGAGCCAAGTCAGGACTATAAAATAGACACCTAATGATTTTCCATAGAAATTCTCAAAAAATTGCCCTTGTTTGACGAGAGGAATGAGCAGGAGCATTGTCAGGGTGAAGGACTGTCTAGTGAAGATTTCCCAGGATTGTTTTTTGTTTGTTTGTTTGGGTTTTTTTGTTAAAGGTTTGGGTAACTTCCTCAGAATATTCTCATAATAAACAGATGTTGTCATTCTTTCACCCTCCAGAAAGCCAGCAAGCAAAATGACTTAATCATCCCCTAAATTGTTGCCAAGACTGACTTTCACCAGTTTGCTTCTGGTTTCTCTGGACCACTCCCACCAGTTGGTAGCCACTGGTTTGATTGTGATCTGTCTTCAGGATTTGCTGGTAAAGCTATGACCATCTCCCATTAATAATTTTTCAAAGAAAAGCTCCAGGATCTCAATTCTACTTGTTTAAAATTTCCATTAGAGGCTCTGCTTTTGTCTGCAGCTGATCTGGGAGAAAGGGTGTTGGCACTCATCAAGTGGGAAGTTTGCTCAACTTTACTTTTTCAGTCCGAATTGTGTAAACTGGCCTGGTATAGTGTCTCAGGCTTGAAATCCCAGCCAAGGTGAGAGGATCACTTGAGTCTAGGAGCTTGAAACCAACTGGGACATTGAAGTGAGACCCCATCCCTACAAATAAAAATTAGCCAGGAATGCTGGCATGCACCTATAGTCCCAGCTACTCAGGAGGCTGAGGCAGGAGGGTTGCTTTAGGCTGGGAGGTGGAGATTGCAGTGAACCATTGCTCCACTTCACTCCAGCCTGTTTTGTGGAGAGAGCGGGGAGGGAAGAAGAAGAAGGAGGAGGAGGAAAGAACGGAAGAAAGAAAGAGAAAAGAGGAAAGGAGAGAAAAGAAAAGAGAGAAAAGAATTTGTGTACGTTGAACCATTTGAGGTGTCTATGGTATTGGCTATTGTTTGTGCTGTTAATTTTTAGTCTTCTTCAATTAGGGCCTGAACAAGATTACTTTTTTCATTGCAAACTCATGTGGATGGTCAGCCACTGCTGGCTTCATCTTCAACATCTTGTTCCTTCTTAAAATGATTTCTTTGGGGCATTGTCCCCATAAGCTTTTCATAATGCATCCATGAATTTACCGTTCTACTGCCTAAGCTTCACCATAAATTTGGTGTCTGTTGCTTCATTTTAGCAGAATTCATGTTGCTCTGCTAGGGCCTCTTTTCAAACTGATAAATTTCTTAGTGCCTCAAACTACCATATCCTGTTCAGAGACATTATGAAGAGTAAATATGAGTTGCACCAAAAGGTGCAATAACATTTCTGAAATCCATGCATAGTTTTTTTCATAATATGCATTTTTCATTAACTTTTTGAAGACCCCTCGTATAGGAAAAAACAGTGTACAGACTTTCAAGCATTCAACTGGGGGTCTTGGGACTATCACCTACCTGTAGATAAGGGAGGACAACTGTATTAAAAACCTATCCTTTATTTATCTGAAATTCAAATTGAATGGAATTTTATCGTGTGCCAACCCTATCCTGGGGCACTTAAAAATACTAGAGGCCTTATGCCCCTGTGAGGTTCGGTAGCTTTGAGTGGAACCTCGCCTGGAATGCGTAGTTTTAAAATGGTACTCAGATCACTGGCCTGGGTGGGAAGCCTGGTACTTTACCACACCAGGCTAGTGGGGGTCTAGGCTCTCCTCCCCGTGAAAACACACATTTTCTTACTTATTCGTTCTTCAGTCTTTAATAAGTTAGGCTAGTACGACTCGGGCCTCCGTGGCTGTTGCCTCTGGGACTTCTGCCTGGATCAGTGCTCTAGGGTGTGCCTGCTTGTCCCCGCTGTCCAGACAACCAGCGGGGCTTTTGCAGAGGCCAGCCCCATTTCCTTTGGACGCACTGATTTTTCTCATCCAGAGAGGGTTGGCCAATTGTTCCCTGCTCAAACTGTAACTTTCTAAAGCAAGGCGGTGACAGAGGGCCGGAGGGGAAAAGGGTGGGGCAAGGGACAAAGAAGAGGGTGAGGTCAGGCCAGGCTCACTGTTCCCTCCTACACGACTTGGCGCACAGTTCACTTTTTCCCTAGAGAACTCTCGCCCACGCTGCGACCCCTCGGCGGAGTCCACTGCCCACCAAGGCTCCCGACTCCTGTTGGCGAGGCTTGTGGGTTGAAGGGGGCTGGCAAACAGAGCCCTGCCCACAGCCAATCACAGCAGGGCCCAGCGACGCGGCTGGACCAATCCGGACCCAGGAGGTCTCAGCGTCGATCTACCTGATCCCAGGTGAGCTCGGTTCTACCAGCCCCAGGTGCACCGCGGGGATGGAGAGGGCGGGTGAGTTGTCACCAGGAGGCCTTCCTGGGGCTGAGTTCCCAGCGGAGCCCGTGGAAAGCCAGGTCCCGGACCTGGAGCAGCCGCAGATACCCGCGGAGACACAGCAGCCCGAGAGTCCCCAGGGCAGCCCAACTCTGGCCAGGACCGCGAAGGATGCGGCGGGCGCGGGCCTGGACCCCCCGGGCGAGAAGAAGCTGTCCCCGCCTCGCCCTGGGCTCCAGCGGGGGCCGCCACTCAGCCTGGGCTACGGCGCCTTCCGCCGCCTGGGGTCAGCCGGCCCGGAGCCGCCGTCGCCGGGCCCCGCCTCGGCCGAACAGCCTCGGGACGGCGAAGCGCCCGGGTCCGAGCTACTACCGTGGGCCGCTCCGGGCGAGCCGGCGCCCGGCCCCTGGGCGCCCATGGAACTGCAGGTGGACGTGCGCGTGAAGCCCGTGGGCGCGGCCGGCGGCAGCCGAGCACCCTCGCCAGCGCCCTCCACGCGCTTTCTCACTGTGCCAGTGCCGGAGTCCCCAGCCTTCCCCCGCCACGCCTCCCCTGCGCACCCACTCCTGCAACGGACACCATCCCCGGGCAGCACATGGGGCCGCGGCTCGCCGCTGACCACAGCCCGGATAGAGAGCGGCCGTGACGCCGAAGGTAGGGCCAGCCCGGCAGAGAGAAGCGCGGGCTACCCCACGTGCCGCTGCCGCTGCCGCTGCAAAGAGCTGGGACTGGAGAACGAGGACTCGGTGCTGCTACACCCCGGCAACAAGAAACTGCCCCGGGCGATAGCGCTCTTAGGTAAGTGCTCTCAGGCGCCGCAGCGTGAACACACATCCACACCCACACCTGCCCAGCACCGGGCCACTCGCATGGAGGGGCAGAGGCACCGCAACGACCATCCGATGCCCCGATCCCACCTGACCTCTGGGACTAACAACCAAAACCATCTATCTGGTCTAAGTGCATTGTTCCAGAGGAGAGGTAGTTAATTCGGATCCAGTGCTGGTCATTGCAGGCGGAAACACAGGTTCCAGGCTGGCCCAGTCTGCTGCTGTGCCGTGGGTTGATTTCTCCAAGGTCCAGGCTGGTTCTTTCTCTCCACATATCTAAGAGCACTTGGCCCCAAACACTCATCCGTTCAGCAAATGTTGAGCTAATGCTAAACCTAACCCAGAATGGCTAGCTTGTGTGTTTGCCTGTGCGTGTTGGGGGTGAGGCGGGAGAGACAGCTTGGCACAGAAGAAAGAGCCAGAAAAAGATAAACAGTCCTTGTCCTGGAACCTGAAGAGTGTGGCTGGTGAACTTGGAGCATGATAAAGCTTGCTGGAGCCTCATCTTGAAAAGTGAGTAGGAGTTGGGAGAGGTTGGGGCTTCGATGTAGGAAGATGGATAAGAGCAGAGGCCAGGGCTCAGGGCCTGTGGCTCAAGCCTTAAGGCGCCAGCCACATACACCTGAGCTGGTGGGTTGGAATCCAGCCCCCGCCACCAAACAATAATGACGGCTGCAACCAAAAAATAGCCGGAAGTTGTGGCAGACGCCTGTAGTCCCAGCTACTTAGGAGGCGGAGGCAGGAGACTCACTTGAGCCCAGGAGTTGGAGGTTGCTGTGAGCTGTGATGGTAGGGCACTCTACCCAGGGGGATAGCTTGAGGCTCTGTCTCAAAAAAAAAAAAAAAAAAAAAAAGAGCAGAGGCCAGAACGAGCCAGCACTCTGCCCAGCAGGCCAACTGGTGGAAGTCTGGCTGATGGAGATAAAAGACAAGCCAGCTCCATGGGCACCACCTAAAGGGGTTCATAGACCATAGGGTTCAGGGGCTTAGATCACTGAGAAACTTTTGCAGAGTTTGGTGTGAGCACACTTTCTGCATGATGGAATATTTTCTTTCTTTCTTTCTTTCTTTCGACAGTCTCATTCTGTCACCCTGGGTAGAGTACTGTGGCACCATAACTCACAGCAACCTCTAACTCCTGGGCTTAAGCAATCCTCTTGCCTCGGCCTCCCAAGTAGCTGGGACTACAAGCACTTGCCCAGCCAGTTCTTCTGTTATTATTAGAGACAGGGGTCTTAGTCTTGATCAGCCTGGTCTGATTCAACTCTTGAACTCATGCAATCCACCCACCTCCGCCTCCCAGAGAACTAGATTACAGATATGAGTAATTCCAGAGAGATGGAATATTTTCTATTGCTGTTATAACAAATTACCACAAATTTAGTGGGTTTGGGTGACACAGATTTGTCTCACAGTGCTATAGGTCAGTTTGACACCAGCTTCCTGATATAAAGTGGAGTCAGCAGGGCTGCCTCACTTTCTGGGATGGGGAGGGGCCTCTTTCCTTGCCTTTTCCAGCTTCTATGGGCCACTACATTCCTTAGCTCATGGCCTTCTGTGTGTTCAAATCCAGCAATGTTGAGCTGAATCCTTCTCCCACCACTGCCTCTGCCCCAAAGGTTCCACCTCCTCCTCCCATTTATTTATAAGGACCCCTGTGATTACACTGGGCCCAGCCAGGTAATCCAGGATAATTCCCCCCTCTCTAGGTCAACTGATTATCATCAACCTTAATTCCACTTTGCCATATAACCTAACATAATCACAGGCTGCAGGGATCAGGATGTTGATATCTTTGGGGAGATGTTATTCAGTTCAGTACACACAATGACTCCAGCTTTTCATCTTAAAGAAGCTGTGATGGGCTGGGTGCAGTGGCTCACACCTGTAATCCTAGTACTCTGGGAGGTCGAGGCAGGAGGATCCCTTGAGCTCAGAAATTCAAGACCAGCCTGAGCAACAGGGAGACCCCATCTCTACTAAAAATAGAAAAAGTACCCAGACATGGTGGTGCACACACATATAGTCCCAGCTACCCAGGAAGCTGAGGCAGGAGGATCGCTTGACCTCTTGAGTTTGAAGTTGCTGTGAGCTAAGCTAGGGCCATGGTACTGTAGCCTAGGTCACAGAGTAGGACTGTGTCTCAGAAAAAAAAAAGCTCTGACAAACAAGGCTGGGCTGATAACATGGTTGGGGTCTTATTCTAGAAAGAGAGCTCTGACTCTCCAGTGGGGGAAGGCCAGGACAGACAAGAGATGGAAGAAGGGAACATCAGTTAGGAGATGATAGCATTAGTTCATGGAGAGATACTGAAGGCTTGATCTATGGCAGAGGTAGGAGGATCTATGATACACACAGGCTGGGCCACTGAGCCGATGAAGTAAGCTAATGGGAGGAGGCGGATGACTCCTACATTTCTGACATGAGTCACTAGAGCAGCGGTTCTCAACTTGTGGTCACAACCCCTTTGGGGTTCAAACGACCCTTTCACAGGGGTTGCTTAAATACATCCTGCATATCAGATATTTACATTACAATTCTTAACAGTAGCAAAATTACAGTTATGAAGTAGCAACTAAAATAATTTTATGGTTGGGGGTCACCACAATATGAGGAACTGTATTAAAGGGTCACAGCATTAGTAAGGTTGAGAACCACTGCACTAGAGGATGGGTTGTGATATCTTACCAAAATGGAGAATGTGGGAAGAGCTGTGGGAGAAATAAATGAGATGGTGCCTTTGGGAGTTCCAGGGAGGGATGTCATTTAAAAGAAGAGGAAGAGGCTTGGCACCTGTAGCACAGTGGTTATGGCAAAGGCCACATACATCGAGATTGGCAGGTTTGAACCTGGCCCAGGTCAGCTAAACAATGACAACTGCAACAAAACATAGCCAGGCATTGTGGCAGGCACCTATAGTCCCAGCTACTTGGGAGGCTGAGGCAAGAGAATCACTTAAGCCCAAGAGTTGGAGGTTGCTGTGAGCTGTGATACTACAGCACTCTACCCAGGGCAACATAGTGAGATTCAGTCTCAAGGAAACAAAAATAAAAGAAGAATAAGAAGAGCCAATGTAAGTGGGAGCCAATGTAGGAGGAGAATCAGGAGGCAGAGAAGCAGGGAAAGAAGAGCCTTTCTAGAAGAGTGTGGTCAACAATGCTGAGTGTCAGATTCTGGGACTGGACAATCAGGACAGTTGCCACATTCAAACAGTTCTAGAAATGATCAGGTAACCAGGGCTGTGGGGGAGAGGAGGTGGGAGGATGAGTGATCCCAGGTAGGTGCTGATGGTTGGTTCTCCAGTTTTGCTTTCTGGGAAATGTGGGTTAAAGAATCTTGGGTGCTGGGCATGGCGGGTGTGCCTATAGTGTACCCTTCCTGCCAATCAGGCGGCTGAGGCAGGAGGAAGGACCACTCTAGCCAGGAGTTCTGGGCTATAGTACTATGCTGATTGGTATCTGCACTAAGTTCCACATCAACGTGGTAACCTTCTAGGGACCACCAGGGGTGAACCAGCCCAGACCAGAAACAGAGCAAGTTAAAATTCCCATGCTGATGGGGTGTTGGGGGATTCATGCTGTGAATAGCCACTACACTCCAGACTGGGCAGCATAGCCAGACCCTGTTTCTAAAAAGCAAAACAAAACAAAAAATCTTGTGTTTCCCAGCGCAAGACCGAGGCTTGGCCTGAGGGACACTGCTTGGGTTTGGAGCTTTGCTGAGCGGTTTCTGACTATGGAATCAGGGTGCCTAGCTCAACAAGAAGGGTGAACTAAGGCAAGGGCCTAGGTGATTAAAAAAAAAAAAAAAGCTTCTTAGAGGTGGGGTAGGGTAGGGGGTAGGGTGGGGATCTCCCTTTGGCTGGTAGTTTGGGAGAACAGGTGGCTCTGCACAGGGCTGTTCCAAAATCAGCCTCTTGGAATTAGGTGGGTCCTCCTAAATGGTGTGTGAGAAGTTAGGGGCAAGATTGTATTGCTTTCCTGCTTTGTTTTCTGAAAGGTCAGAGCTAGAGAGGTGTAGGTTTTCAAGAGATCTCAAGAAATAAAACATAAAAGATAAAAGGTCAGAGCTAACTTTAGTTTCAGCAACCATCCTTGTATTTACTTAGGTGACTGGTAGATTTATTTTATGTTTCTTTTCCAGTGTTTTTAGTTCTGTTTTGCTATTTTAAGACTCAATTTATTAAAAATATATATATATAAAAGTTTGGAAGGAAAAAAAAGACTCAATTTATAGGTATCTTTTATTCCAAGCATTTTCAAGCCCCCTTCTTTTGAGTAATAGTGTTATTGAGATATAATTCATATACTGTAAATTCACCCATCTAAAGTGTACAAGTCAGTGGCTTTTAGTGTATTCACAAAATTGTACAACCATCATCACAATCAATATAGATGATTTTCATCATTATTATCATCTAAAAAGAAACTCGTACTCTTTTTTTTTTTTTATTGAATGGTAACTATGTACATTAATGCACTTCTGGGGTACAGTGTAGGGTTTTCCATGCAATCCGAAATACTTCCATCAAACTGGTCAACACAGCTTTCAAGAAACTCATACTCTTTAGGTAGCCCCTCCCAACCCTTCCAACTCGACCCCGAGGTAACCACTAATCTGTTTTGTGTCTAGACATTTGTCTATTCTGGACATTTCATATCAAAAGACTCAAAGAATATGTGGCCTTTTGTGTCTGGCATCTTTCATTTAACATGTCTTCAAGGTTCATCCTATTGTAACGTGTACCGGCATTTCCTACTTTTTTATAGCTGAGTAATAATCCCGTGTACAGGATCTACCACATTTTGTTTGTCCTTTCATCAGTTGATGGAAATTTTGGTCACATCCCTTTGAGAAGCAGATTAAGTATTTTTTTAAAAAGGATTTCAGGGGGCAGAGCCTGTGGCTCAAAGGAGTAGGACGCCAGCCCCATGTGCCAGAGGTGGCAGGTTCAAACCCAACCCCGGCCGAAAACTGCAAAAAAAAAAAGGATTTCAGAAAAGTCATAGATGGAATGTTGACTTTTTGTACCCCATCCCTTTCTGATCTTTTAAGCAGGTTGTTTCTCCAATGCAAATGAAAAACTAGGGATTTCAAAAGTGTCTATGATTTAAAAGTTGAATTATGATTGAAAATGTGCTTTATTAAAAACCTTGGAAATGTGTTCCTTTTTGTGTGTACCATATGCATGTGTGTATTTATATATGGATACATATTATACTGATAGACATGGGGGGATTTTAATGCAATTAGTCTTTTTGAAATAGTAAAATATTGCTGCAGAATTACTTCTGCTTTTATTTCAAGCTTTAGCCAGTATAATAATTTTGCTGTCACAACCTTCACAATGACTCTGTGGTCATTGCTGACCCATTGCTGTAACCATTCTGGGAGAGGAGAGTTGCTTTCTTGCTATAGCTGACTTCATGCTTCTGTGTTCCAATTCAGGAATGCTCACTGTTCATCACTCTCCCTGGCTGCAATCGATCATTCAGAATCCTTCCTGCTCTCTCCTATCCTCCACATTCCCTTCTCTGGCTTCCCAGGTTAACACAGCCAGGTTTAAGTGCCATCCAGTTCCAAGCCATTGCCACCTATACCTCCACCCAGAACACACTCTCACCTCCTCCGTGGCTCAGCTCCCTCCCTCAGCCTCAGTCCAGCCACCTATTTGGTCCCGATGGTCCCTGCGTACAGGTCTGCTGCTGCTGCTGACACTCACAGCTGTGTCCTGCTCTCAGTCTGCAGAGTGCTACATGCACAGCATGTAAGACCTGGAGAAACTGAGGAGGCAGGTGTGATGTTGATGGGAAAATGGGAAAACATCAAGACACCGGAGTGGCCCATGCAGTCGGGACTTGGGCCCGGACCTGTCAGCTCCGGCATGCCCTCGCTTCTCTTCCTGGTAGTATAATAGTTTATTCTCTGTGGCATCGGTGCCCTGTGTCTAATGTACAGTAAGTGCTCAGTAAATGGTTTTTGGCCAATTATCTCTTCTCTTTCTGGAATAGAATCTTACGTCTTCTACACTAATTATTTAAGAAGAACGTCTTCTATCCTCTTTCTCTGAAATATAAAGTTGGAACCTAAGTTGGGCCGATGGGCTGGGTGCTGGTGAGGTGAGTCTCGTTCTGGGTTGGAGTGGTCCCCTCTAACCTGCCTCTCCTGTTTGCCCCACCCCAGGGCTGCCCACGTACATGAAGTCCCTGCGCTGGGCCTTGGCAGTCATGGCTGTGCTCCTGGCAGTCTCTGCAGTGACCATTGTGGCCCTGGCCTCTAGAGCAGGTAGGGTTCTCCCCACCCCCACTGTTCCTTCTCCCTGCCAGTCAAGCACCAGGGCTGTGTCTAGCACCGTGGGGATTAGAAAGAGACAGCCCCACCCTCACTGGGAGGTGCAACATGAAGAAACGGGGCTTGTTGAACAAAGTTGAAAACAATTTGGTCCTTGCTTCCACTAGACACAGCTCGTGCTCCAACGAGTAATTGGATGCCAGCCTGTACAGCTTCCGTGGGGCCCTGCTCACCCTCCATTCTGCCCCAAGCCTTGCCAATTCCAGGCCTCCAGATTTGCCCCCTCAGTCAAGGCGGCAGCCAGGTTTGTTTGTTACACACACACGGTTTACCCTGCAGCTCACCAGTGGTCTCTGCTTACAGGGGTCAGGTGCCAGCCCTGCCCTCCAGGCTGGGTGTGGTCCGAGGAGCACTGTTATTACCTCTCTGTGGAAGTGCAACCCTGGGAGGCCAGCCAGGCTTTCTGCTCAGCTCACAGTGCCACCCTCCCCCTGCTCAACCACACCCAGGTAAGAAGGGGGTGGCCAGTTGCAGAGGGGAGGGACCTGGGGGTACATGTCATTCCAGACCTCAGGATCTAAGCAGTGGAAGGAATCTGAAACATCTGGTGCAACTCTCCACATTGAAGTGACATGCAGGGGACCAGACCTCCCGTCTCTGAGGTCTTTAACTTGCTCTTCATTCTAAGAGGTGGAGCAGGATACTCCCATTCAGCCTGGTGGTCACACAGTTAGCTGTGAGGTCAGGAGCCAGTGTGTGCTGGTCCAGGCCTGCTGATGGGGCAGGGATGGGGGATATGCAGACACACATGTCCTCTCTGGGGGGTGGTATGGAAAATAAAGTACCTCAAGTGAGTATACCAGTCAGCTAGTGTTATAATGGTACTGGGTAACAAATCATCCCTAACTCCTTTGTGATTTAAGACAATAAGCACTTATCTCTTGATAGTCTGTAGGTCAACTGTTGATAGGCTGGTGCTGGCTAGGTTTCACTGGTCAGCTTTAGGACACAGGCCGGCTGGGCCTGAGTGCAAGAAGCCAGCTGAACCATGCAAGCATCATACAAGGCCACTGCTCATGTCTTACCAGCTGACATCCCAGTGGCCAAAGCAGTAACACAGCCAAGCCCAACATCAGAGTGGCAGTGTGGTATATTCTGTCTCGCAGCACAGGGGACAAGGAGTGAATATATGCTGACCAGTAATCTAGTCAATGGATTTCAGAGCAGCTACAAAAAAGACCAATAACCTGGATCCAGCCCTTGGCTTAATTTTTATTTTCTATTTTTAAAAACTGTGTTACAGTAGACATGTGTATAACACGAAATTTACCACCTTAACCATTTTAAGTATACACTTCAGTGATATTAAATTCCTGCAGTGTTGTGTGCAGCCATCACCGTCATCCCTCCACTGAGCGCTCTTCCTCTCGTGCCCCTGAAATGCTGCACCCTTCAAACTAATTCCGACTTCTCTCTGCCCCCAGCCCCTGGCAGCCACCATTCAACTTTCTGCCCCTCTGATTTTGACTACTATAAGTACCTCACAGAAATCAAATCATATATTATTTGACTGTTTTGACGAACTTACTTCACTTAGTATCCATCCTCAGCATTCACCTGTGTTGTAGTACATATCAGAACTTCCTTCCTTTTCAACTGAATAGCAGTCCATTGTGTGTGGATAGCATATGTCGCTTATTTGCTCCTCTGTTAGTGAAGACTTGTGTTGCTTCCACATTTTGGCTCTTCTGAATACTGCTAAGAACGTGGGTGCATGTTCTTTGAGGTCCTGCTTTCAATTCTTTGGGGACTATACCCAGCCGTGGAATTGTCAGATCATATGATTTATTCTATTTCTAATGTTTCAGGAACCACCATGTGTGTTCTTGCAGTAACTGTATTATTTCACATTCCCACCAATCCCTGACTTAATTTTACACGGACAGGTGCCAAGAATCTATATTAGCCGCGCTGATACGCCCGACAGAGCAGCTTTCCTTCAGCCAGGGCTTTAATGAACATGAACTGAGCACCTCCTCTGTGTGTTGTTTCATTTTATTTTTAATTTCAGTAGATTTAGGGGGAACAAGTGGTTTTTTGATACATGGATGAATTGTATAGTGGTGAAGTCAAGGCTTTTACTGTCCTAATCCTGCAAATAATATACATTGTACCTGGTAGGTAATTTTTGATTCCTCACTCCCCTCCTAATCTCCCCCATTCTGAGTCTCCAAACTTCATTAAAGCACTATAAAAAACTGTGTATACCCATTGTGTCATCCATGATTTCTTTCATCAATGTTTTGTAGTTCTCCTTGTAGAGATATTTTACCTCCTTTTTACGTATATTTCTAAGTATTTTTTTATAGCCGTTATAAATGAGTTCTTCATTTGATTATCAGCTTGGCTGCTATTCCTATACAGAAATGCTACTAAGTGGTGTATATTAAATTTGAAACCTGAGACTATTGAATTTATTTATTGTTGTGACCGCATAAATGATTTCCAGGCTTGCCAGGAGAATGTCTTGTTCTCAGTAATTCCTCAGATGAGTTATGATATTGGTGACTGTTGTAGTAAGTATGATGCTTAATCCTTAATTATTTATCAATTGTAGGAGTCTCTGGGAGAAGTCTTTAGGGTTTTCTGTATAGAAGGTCATAGCACCAGCAAACAGGGAAACTTTGACCTCCTCTTTTCCAATTTGCATGCCTTTATTTCTTTCTCTCGCCTCATTGCTCTGGCTAGAACTTCTAGCACTGTGTCAACTAGATGTACTGAAAGTAGGCATCCTTGTCTTGTTCCATTTCTTAGGGGGAATGCTTTCAAACTTTACTCCATTCCATGTGATATTGACTGTGGACTCGACATATATGGCTTTTGTTATTTTGAAATATGTTCCTTCCATAGTTCCTTCCTAGTTTGTTAAGGGTTTTTATTATGAAGGGGTGCTGGATTTTATTGAATAGTTTTTCTATTGAGATGATCATATGGTTTTTTGTTTTGTTTTGAGACAAAGTCTTACTATGTCGCCCTTGGTAGAGTCCCATGGCATCACAGCTCACAGCAACCTCAAAATCATTGGCTTACACAATTCTCTTTCCTCAGCCTCCCAAGTAGCTGGGACGACAGGCACCTGCCACAATGCCTGCTATTTTTTTGTTGTAGTTGTCATTGTTGTTTAGCAGGCCCTGGCCACATACAAACCCACCAGTGACCTAACCACTGAGCTACTGGTGCCAAGCCATCATATGGTTTTTGTTTTTAATTCTGTTTATATGGTATCACATTTACTGGTTTGCATATATTGAACTATACTTGTATCTCTGGAATGAAACCTATTTGATTGTGGTGACTTTTTTTGATGTGTTATTGGACTCAGTTTGCTAGTCTTTTGTTAAGGATTTTTGCATCTATGTTCATGAGGGATATTGGTCTGTAGTTTTCTTTTTGTGTTGTGTCCTTTCTTGACTTTGATATAGGAGTGATAACTGGCTTTATAGAATGAATTAAGGAGGATTTGCTCCTTTTTGATGTTATGAAACTGTTTCAGTTGTATAGATAACAGTTCTTATTTATAGGTCTAGTAGAATTAAACTGTGAATTGACTGGTCTTGGACTTTTTGGTTGGGATATCTTTTTATTACTGATTCTATACCACTACTCATTATTGATCTGTTCCAAATTTCTATTTCTTCTTGATTCAAGCTTAGGAGAGTGTGTGTTTTCAAAAATGTATCCATTTCCCCTAGATTTTCTAGTTTGTGTGTATAGAGATATTCATAGTAGTCTGATTATCTTTCTTTCTTTCTTTTTTTTTTTTTTTTTTTGCAGTTTTTTGGCTGGGGCTAGGTTTGAACCTGCCCTCTTGCATATGAGGCCGGCACCCTACTTCTTTGAGCCACAGGCACTGTCCTAATTATCTTTCTTATTTCAGTGGTATAAGCTGTAATGTCTCGTTTTTCACTTCTGATTGAACTTATTTGAATTCTCTCTCTTCTTTTCTTGGCTAATCTACCCAGTGATTTGTCAATTTTATCTTTTCAAAAGACCATCTTTTCATTTCCGTGATCCTTTGCATTATTCTTTCAGTTTCAATTTCATTTAGTTCAACTCAGATCTTTGTTAGCTTTGAGTTTGATTGGTTCTTGTTTTTCTAGTTCCCTGAGGCATGACATTAGTTTAGGAGTTTGTGATCTCTTTTTTTAATGTAAGTATTTAGCACAATGCACTTCCCTCTTCGCACTGGTTTTGCTGTATCCCAGAGATTTTGCTGGCATGTGTCATCATTGTCATTCACTTCAAAAAATTTATTGATTTCCATCTTGATTTCTTCACATAGTTGTATGGTTTCAAGAGTTCCTCTTGGGATTGATTTCTAGGTTTATTCCACTGTGGTCTAAGAAGGTACATGAAATTATTTTGAGTTTTAAAAATTTGCTGGGACTTGTTTTGTGGCCTAACATATGTTTATCTTAGAAAATGCTCCATATGCTGATGAGAGGAATGTATGTTCTATAATTTAGGGATGGAATGTTCTATAAATATCTGTTAGCTCCATTTGTTCTAGAGTCTCATTTAAGTCCAGTGTTTCTTTGTTGATTTTCTATTTTGATGATCTGTCTTATTCTGTCATTAGGATGTCCTTCATTATAATTAGATTGATGTTTGTTTCATTTCTTAGGTCTAGTGGTATTTATGAATCTAAAAGCTCTGGTGTTCGGTGCACATATATTAAGAATTATATCTTCTTGTTGAATTGACCCCTTTATCATAACCATCTTTGTCCTTTTTAACCGTTCTTGATTTAAAATCTGTTTTATCTGATATAAGAATAGCCAGTTCTGCTCATTTTTGGTTTCCATTTGCATGGGATATTTTTTTCCACTCTTACCTTAAATCTATGCAACTCTTTGAGTTAAATGGGTTTCTTGGAGACAGAAGATATTTGGGTTGTGTTTTTCATCCTTTCCATCAATCTATGCCTTTTAAGTGGGTCTATTTTGACCCTTTACGTTCAGCGTTAATATTGATAAGTGAGGTACTGTTCCCTCAGCATGCTGATTGTTACCTACTTGCTTTGTATTCTTCCTCATGTTGCTGTTTTATAAGATCTATGAGTTTTTGCTTTTCAGTACTTCTACGCTGGTAAATATCAACTTTCTTTTTGGTGTTTAGAGCTTTTTTAAGCATCTCTTGTAGGGAAAGTCTAGTGGTGACAAATTTCCTTAGTGTTTGCTTGTCTGGAAAGTATTTTAATTCTCCTACATTTAAGAAACTTAATTATATAGGATACAAAATTCTTGGCCGACAGTTATTGTAAGAAAACTAAAGATAGGACCCCAGTCCCTCTGGCTTTAAAGTTTCTGCTGTTAGTCTGCTGGGTTTTCCTTTGTGAATTACCTGATGCTTTTCTTTCATCTCGCAGCTTGTAGGATTTTCTCCTTCCCTTTGACTTTTGCCAGATTGATGCTGACAAATCATGTGCACTATGATTACAGAGGAGTGGTAGCCTATGAAGGCAAGAGGCATTCTACATAGAACTGGCTCGGCCAGGGTCCTGAGCTGTTGTTATAACTGAGATGAAGATGGGCTGTGCGGAGAAAGCGTCAGGGGCTCCTGCACAAAATGGCCCCACCCAGTCTCACGTGCAACATGAAAGCCAGGGGGAATATAGGTGAGTCTAAAGGCAGGTCCCTAGAAAGCACTTGGAGTTGGGGCCAGGAACTCAGGTAGGCAGGGATTTTACAGCTCAGCATAATTTTTCCATCTCCTGAAACAGACTGATTGAGCACAACAAGTGCCACCAGGAAGCTGGTAAAACAGAGGCCCCCTGCCCTCCACCCCCCATTCTGGATCAACTCAGCATGACCTTGAATCTCGCTGAATAAATTGCTTCCCTGTTGCTGGTTGGCTCTTAGGGGGCAACTAGGTTTAACCATCCAAATTGCAAACACCCTGAAATAAAGAGTTTTAAAAAAAACAAAGTGCATACAAGATTTATTATTTGCAATGCAAGTAAATTTGCAGAAACTATATCACAGTCTGGATAAGGTCCTTCCCTGTAAAAAGACCAAAGCTGAGATTTGAGATCCAGGTTTGGATCTCAGAAAATCTGGAGTATGATGAGTGTGGAGCTCTGGGGCCCTACTGAGTTCTGAGCAAGAGTGGGATAGGGTCTGAGGATACAAGTCCCAGGGACACACCAGGGGCCAGCATGCCCACAGCTGTTGGGCAAACATGGCTTATCTTTCCAAAGAGCCCATTTTGCTCAGAATTAGAGAAAAGGAGGAAGTCCAAGCGCTCATCACTGTTTTAATACCAGCCTTACTTTGCAAAGTAGAGGAGGGAGGAGCTATCTTAACAGAACGTGTTGTATGTGAGCCACATCCTGATTTCAAAACGATGAAAATATGAGTAACTATACATCCTAGGATTAAAACATGAAGTAATTTGAAATATTTTAATATTAAAAGGGAAATGTATGAAGACAGAAGGCAGAATGCTAGTTGCTGGGGCAATGGGGAGTTGTTGTTTCATGGGACAGAATTTCTGTTTGGGGAGATGAGAAAGGTCTGGAGATGGATGTTGGTGATGATTTCACAACAACATAGACATACCGAATGCCCTTGAACTGTACACTTACAATGGTTAAGATGATCAATTTTGTGTTACAAATCTTTTACCACAATTTAAAAAAAAATAAACATATGAAGGCAAAGGAAATAATTTACCTTAATTTTAAGATGTAAATTTCCAGTCATTCTGCCCAAGATTACATTCCCTGTCTCCATATTGGCACCAGTAGGAGAAGCCAGAGCTTAAGATAGTGGAGGCCCTGGGACCTCTTGTGCCATTGTGAGACAGCAGTCCTTTAAGCCACATACTACTCAGAAGTTCCTAGAATTTATTTGTAACTTTAGACAATGCCTTTCCTACATTGCGACTTTTGTTAACAATGAGAACAGGAGTCTGAACTCCTGAGAAGACCAGGGAGCGCTGGGACTAATGGTGGGGCAGAGATTGGCCTTCAGGTCCTGCACCCCAGAGGCCTGGAGGGAAGGGAGCGAGCTCCAGAGCTCAGGTGGAAAGGAGGGAGGTGGTTTTACTGAGCTGCTTACTGTGAGCTGGGCTCTCACAGCGCCGTGTTGAGTAAGATAAGCTCCCCATCCTTACCAAGTTCACTGTCTAATACAGAACCTGACAAGCTGTTAAAAGGCAGCATAATAGCTGTGTCCATGAAACTTAAGGTAGCCAGGGAAGGGACGTGTCCCCAGCTCACCTTGGAGGGGGGTCAGCCTGGTGCCCCTACAGGAAGTGACCTTTAAGCTGCGGCCTGAAGAATGGGTGGAGTGGTACCCAGGGGACAACCATTCCAGCGGTTACTTTCTAATTCCCAGGCTTTATTTAGAAAGATTTTACCTTTGCTAACTCAATTTGGAGGGAAGAACTGAGCATATGCCAAATTCACTGACATCACTCTTCTAATCCACATCCGTCTGAATATGTGCTTCTTAATGTAAGTGATACGGACTTGCTGGTGTGGGCTGCTTATTTTGTTTTTAACTTGGCATGATTTTATATTTACATTTCCCTGCATAACTACATTTTCTAGGTACTCATCATTTTTATAGCAGTGTAATTTTCCATCATGTTGATTGATTGATTACTGAGCATTGGATAGTTTCAGTTTTTTCTTTATAAATAGCACTGTGTTATCTTTGGGTAAGTTCATTTTCTCCCCTTTATAGTCTTGGATCTATTCCCCAGAGTGAAATCACCCGTTCGTGCGATGGGAATGGTGTTGGCTGCTCTCGTTACCTACGTGGCACCAAATTATGCTCCAGGAAGGCTGAGCTGATGGGAACTGCAGCAGCTCCAAGTCCTCATGCTGGGACTTACGATATTTAAGCATTTTTTTCCCAGCTTAAAAAATCTTAAGTATATTTTTAAAGACATTGAGTCTTTTTTGCCTTAATTCGTTGTTAAAAATAATGTGACATTGAAGGCAAATATTGAAAAGGAAAAAAACCCGTCTCTAACAGTTCTCGAACATGCTTTTTGCTGTTCCTTGTGTGTCTGCCTTCAGTGTGAATACATTTCTTATTATTATGGTCATGCCGCAATTTTGATTCATCTTTTTACATAATGGACTATAACTCTCCCCATGTTACTCCAAGGGCTCCATACTTGCCTCTTTTAATGGCCTTAATATGGTTGCACTGAACCCAGGCAAGGTAATGATGCTCTTGTTGGTGACTGGGCTGTTCATCCACCCCCAGTCGGGCTATCTGCTGTTCCCTGGATGTGTCTGCAGCCTCCTGACGTTCCTCCTGCCCCCTTCCCTGTCTCTCTGCCACTCCACTGGCATGGTGCATCTCTCGGTGGTGATTGACATTCACATCCACTTGGCTGAGATGGGGTCACCCTCATTCCTGGTCCTCAGTCCCAAGCACAGCACTTGGTACCCAGCAAGCACCCAATACAGCTCTCACAGTCACCGGTGTCTTGTGCACATGGGTTGAGTGGATTCTCTCCTCCGATGGGTCAGCCGAGATCCTGCAGAAACCTCAGGGAAAACAGACACCCCCAGTAAGCCACACTGGTGTCCAGAGAAGAGTGTCCAGTCTGCTTTTCTCCCTCAGGACTTCCTGAGCCGATACCCGGTCACCAAGTACTCCTGGGTAGGGGCCCAGAGAGGCCCCCAGGGCTGGCACTGGATCGACGGGTCCCCCCTGCCGCCACAGCTGTGAGTGACCACGGGCTTTCTCCTCCTCTGCCAAGCCCCCATCCCCTGCTCCTCAGAAACCTCGGTTTGTGCACAGATTCAGCCTCCTGTTCCACCCACAGCCGAGGGGATGCCACTTGGGAAACCAGGCCCACCCCTGCCCATGCTCAGGGCTGGGCGTTTGCTTAGTCCCCATTATTCCATTCCTTGTCTGGGTTCCCAGTGCATTCTCAAGCAGGATGTCACCCTCATTTTACATCCTGTGGCTCAGAGCAAGGTGGTTCACCCAGTGCCACGTGGCTGACCACCTAGGGGACAGCCTCATGGCACATCTCACAGTGTCTGGGCCAAGTGGGGAACAGGCACAGGGACTGCAAGCACAGGGAAGGAGGCCCCGGGACCTGATCGCCTCCCTTCCCTCCTCTCTCCTACTCCCCAGACTCCCGGATGATGACAAGGACACCCCGGGTCTCAGCTGCGCATGCCTGGAGGAAGGCAAGCTTGTGGCTATGGACTGCAGCTCTCCAAGACCCTGGGTCTGTGCCAAAGGGACCAAGTGACTGTGGCTCTGCCAGTCCTATGCCTACTGGGGGGCCATGCAGCACCCCGCAGCAAAGACCACCAAGAGCTGAGCAGCCTGTCCCTGGACCTGGCTTCCACCTTCCAGGTGCCCTACACTGCTCAAGAGGAGCCTGCCTGAGTGACCTCAGGGAGCTGCCCCCACCACAGGAAGATCATGTCTGAGGGGGAGGACGTTTGCTGTGGCCTTGGGTCTGAGAACCAGTTTTAGCCCGCAGCTTTTGAAGCTGACTGGTTTGGTGGCTCGGGATGGATTTTTAGCTTTTCTGAGCCTTGATTTCTCCCCTGTTAAGATGGACATTTCCAGCCGGGCTCAGTGGCTTACGCCTATAATCCTAGCACTCAGGGAGGCCGAGGTGGGTAGATTGCTTGAGCTCAGGAGTTTGAGACCAGCCTGAGCAAAAGCAAGACCTCATCTCTACTAAAAGTAGAAAGGCTAGTTGGTAGTACGACGTGTGCCTGTAGTCCTAGCTACTTGGGAGGCTGAGGCAAGAGGATCACTTGAGCCCAAGAGTCTGAAGTTGCTGTGAGCTATGATGCTATAGCACTCTACCCAGGGCAACAGAGTGAGACTTCATCTCAAAAAATAAAAGGGATATTTCCATTTTTTTTTCTTTTTTTTTGACAGAGTCTCACCTCTGTAGAATGCTGTGGTGTCACAGCTCACAGTAACTTCAAACTCCTGGACTCAAGCAATTCTCTTGCCTCAGCCTTCCGAGTAGTTGGGATTATAGGCACCCACAATTCCCAGCTGTTTTTAGAGGCTGGGTCTCTCTCTAGCTCAGGCTGGTCTTGAACTCATGAGCTCAGAGCAATCCACCCACCTCGACCTCTCAGAGTGCTGGGATCACAGGCCTGAGCCACTGTGCCCAGCCTAAAAAGGACATTTTCTATCCTCCTCTCCCCTACCTGTTCTCACCCCTGTACCTTTTCACTCTCAGAGGGAAAGACAGTGTTAACAATCACAGCCAATTCCAAGCTGGGTTCTCTTGAAGTTTCACTGAAACAAGTCTTCAGTTGTTGGGCGGTGGTGGCATCTGGCAAGGACAGCATTGCTGTGAATTCCGTTTGCAGGCAGCAGGGTGCACAGCTAACACAGTCACCAACAGACTGCAGAGAACAGCAAAGGAAAAGACCTGGACAAGGGGGGTGGAAGTTTCTCCTCTGCCCTGAGAGTTAGCAAGAGGTTGGCAGACAGTAAAGGTCCTTGGGAGACCCAGCATTTGGGGCTGGCTGGGGCCCCTGGTAAGCTGACGCCCAAGGTGGTATGAGGCAGAGAGGATAGGCCCACCAGGTCAGGAACAGCTGGCTGCCCCAGCTTGGCAGGAGGGAGTTGTCGAAAAGCATGGGGCCCGAGGGCGGACAGCAACAGGAGGAACATGGGCAGCTTCCAGTCACCTCTTCCCCTCATGGCCATGAGACAACCAAGCTAAAGATGTCTCTGCGGTGGGGTTCAGCAAAAGCCTTCAGGCAGGAGGGCTTCCAAGTCAGACCCTACTTCCTAATCCCTCCAAAACAGAGAAAGCTTTATTTGTGCATTTAAAGCAAGAGCTTGTCTGGGCCATCTGGGAAAAAGGGATGGAGAGTCTTAGGTAAGAGAAATTTCTCACACTCTTAGGATGTAAAAACAAAAAAAAAGAGATGGAAATTTCCTGGCCAGATGTGAAATGGGTGGAGGAGGTGGGGCAGGTGCCAATCACAATACTTCATGCATGGGCAGGAAGCTGCACGTGTTACCCCACCCCCTGCTGTGTGTTCCCGGTGTATGCATGTAGTTAATGAGTGTACAGAAATTTGTTAACTGACTTAGCATCCAGAGAAGGAAAGTGGTTTGTTCAAAGTCACCCAACTAGAAGGGAAGGTCTCAATAAAAGCTAGTTATGTCTAACTCCACGGGGTGGGGAACTTGTGGCCTTCTGAATCCTTGAGTGCTGTCTTTTGTTCTGTGAAGTCTGGATTTGGTGGAGGGGGCTGCACTTGGGGATCTGGAGAACCATATGTGGCTTTGAGGCTGCAGGTTCCCTGTTGATCACAGTGGCTGCTGAGCAGGAAACCCTCAGGTGGAGTGAGGCAAAGAGGAGGTGCCAAGTTATTTCATAGTTGAGAACATCTGCTGCTTCAGTTATCTATTGCTCTATAACAAATTGTCCCCAGTCTTGCCAACAACTACTTCTCCCAAAAAAGCTGTGATTCTGTGGATAAACCAGAGAATTTTGCCTTAGGTGGTATTGGCTGAAGCCCTAGGGTGGCTGGCAGGTCAAAAATGACCTCACTTACTTTGGCCACCAATCGGTGCTGACTCCTCACTGAGACATTGGTTCTCTCCACGTCGCTGCTTGGGCTTCCTCATAACATGGCAGGAGCATTCCCAGGAAGGGACCGTGTAAACTAGATCTAAAGGCTAGCCGTAGAATTCACCCAGTGTCACATATGCCACATTTCTCTGGTCTAAAACAAGTTATAGGGCCAGCCAGCTTCAAGGGGAAGAGAAATACATCACTATGCTGTGTCCAACTCTAGCTCTTGCTACTTGCCCTACCAGGTCTAGTGCTCAAAACAGCCCTAGCAGAATAGAAATATTTCTTGAACAAAAACAGTTTCATTCAGCTCAGCACCCGTAGCTCAGTGAGTAAGAGCGCCAGCCACAAACACAGAGGCTGGTGGGTTCAAACCTGGCCCAGGCCAGCTAAACAACAACAACTGCAACAACAAAAAAAATAGCTGGGCATTGTGATGGGCGCCTGTAGTCCCAGCTACTTGGGAGGCTAAGGCAAGAGAATTGCTCAAGCCCAAGGGTTTGATGTTGCTGTGAGCTGTGATGCCACAGCACTCTACCGAGGGTGACATAAAAAAACTTTGTCTCCCCCGCAAAAAAAGCTTCATCCAACATAGTTGTTAACTTTAAAACTGATTAATTATGTCTGAAATATTTTGCAATAAAAGTTTTTTTTTAAACCTTGTGGGACTTTGAATTTGGTGAAGTAATTGTGAATGTACAGCTGTGCTCCCAGAAAAGAGAAAATCCCTGAAAAAGGAAGAGAACTGAGAACCAGACCAGGCATGAGCTGGTTTTCTGACTTACCCATGAAGTGACGCATTAGTCTTGTGAACTATGGGCTATTTTCCAGCTTAGATGGAATAGGAACTGTGGCCTCGGACCAACACAAGGTGTAGATTGATCTCTTTTTTGTCCTCAGTGAAAGGTTGGGCTAAAGCAACAGTGGGATGGCAAGGAAGCTCATCTGTCTCTCCCTGGATGAAAAAAGTTTCCATTCATAATGTGAAACCTTGGGGCTGGGTGTCGGTCAGCACAGCATTTGAATTTGGACTCCCTGCGTGGCCCGGAAACTTTCTACGTGAGGAGTTACCATCAGTATTGCTCTAGGCTTGGGGGTACACACGGAGTCTTTAGCAGAAACCAATGCAAAACTTCCCTGAAGGGGTGTTCCCTTAATCCACTCTTAGGAAGCCAGTGGATTCTTAGGGTGAGCTTATTATATAATTAAAGACTAGAAAAACTTTGAAACAAGAAAACAACACTGTGAAAAAAGATGACAGTTTTAAGAGAAACAAGTAGAATTTCTAGAAATAAAAATTACAGTTGTTGGTATTAAAAGCTGAGTGGACAAGTTAAATAGAAGATGGGAACAGCTGACAATTAACTGAACTTGAAGGTAAAGCCAAGGTGAGTACCCAGAATGCATTTCAGAGAGACAAAGAGACGGAAGGAAAAAAAAAGAGAAGGTGCGAGACATGGACAACAGAACACACAACAGATCCAACATCACATCCATATACATTTGTAATCTTTTTTTGATACCATAGATCCCTTCTCAGAATCATGTTTTTAAAAATATAAAATAGGCAAGGCATGGTAGCTCATGCCTACCTATAATCCTAGCATTCCGGGAGGCCAAGGTGGGGGGATTGCTTGAGCTCAGGAGTTCAAGACCAGCCTGAGCAAGAGCAGGACTCTGTCTCTACTTAAAAATAAATAAATCAAAAAGAAAGAAAACAAGAAAAATTAGCCAGGCATGGCATGCTAGCCTGGGCAACGGAGTGAGATTCTGTCTCAGAATTGTAAAATAAACATAAGATTATGAAAAAAATCCAACTATGTTGAAATACCATTATCAATGTGCTTTAAAATCAGCCCAACTGAAGTACAAATTATATGCATTGAAATGCGTGCATGTTAAGGGTGCAGTCTGATAAGGTTTGGCAACTGTATACCCTGCCCTTGTCACCACACTCTAAGCAAGGTTCCCGCAGGCACCCTCTCTGCCAATCCCCACCCCTGCCCAGGAAACTGGTTTCCTTTGTCACAATATATTAGGGATATATATTCATGCACCATCCATGTAATAAGATGCCACACAGCGGCTAAAGTAAAATGCCATGATTTCTGTACATAAGTTTTGGACCTAACTAATTTCCCTTACTATTTATATTCAGTTTCTAATAGTTTGGAGTTTTCCAGATAGTCATTTCATCTGCAAATAAGGGTTTTTTACTTCTTTCCAAATGGTGTACAAATTGCTACTTTTGGGGAGGGGGTGGGCAGGGTCACACTGTCACCCAGGCTGGAATGCAGTGGTGTGATCATAGCTCACTGCAGCCTAGAACTCCCAGGCTCAAGCCATTCTTCAACCTCAGCCTCCAAGTAGCTGGGACTACAGGCATGCCCCGCCATATCTGACTAATTTTTTTTTTTTTTTTTTTTTTTTTTTTAGAGACAGGGTGTTACTATGTTGCCCAGGTTGGTCTTAAACTCCTGGCCTCAAGAGATCTCCTGCCTTGTCCTCCCAAAGTGCTGGAATGGCAGGCATGAAACACCAGACCTGCCTCTTCCTATCCTATTTTTTAACTTCTTGGCTAAAGTTAAGCCAAGGGCAACATGAAATAACAGTGATTACAGTGAATGTCCTTACTTTTCCTTGAGGGATGTGTGTATCAGTACATTCCTATTCCTATCATGTTA